ACTTGGCGTAAGAATCAAGCCCAGTTCAACACAGCAAATTTGATTGCTGCTTTTTGTCATTAAGAGTAATGCTACTGTATGTAATTGGTATGATATTGACTTAAAAAACATGTTTAAGTTTCAGATGATCTGAACAAAATCATTACAGGTATTTTCTTTAATTTGTCTCATTTGTTCTAATTTTTCTTTCTCTTCACCACTTCTTGTTGTAAGGTTTCCAGTACCAGGGTTTCAGAAAATGCAGTTATAATACTTTTCATATTCTTGATCTAGCAAGTAATACATGCTATTATCACTGTCTATCTCTTATTGACATCTTGTTGCTTCTGACTTGACTATGCTGTACAGCACAAAGTTTGTTCTGAGACTTCTCAGTCCTAGTCCTGGTAACACCAGCGTCTGCTGGTGTTCAATACAGCTGGACTTTCATTTGCTAAATTGGAATCATCTAACCTACAGTACAGTAGGGCCAGGAATCTGTAAGGCAACAATGCCTAAATTGTCAGAAAACCCTGCTGCCCCTAGATTATTATTTAAATAGTGGATTCAATTAAATAATCAAGTGATGAGTTGGTACACAACCCAGGAGACAATGAGGTCATGAGGATCTGAATTAGGAAATTTTGCTCTATGATAATGACCAATCACCCAAAACTTATAATGTCATTTTAACATTTTCAGGATTCACAGTGATAATATCAGAATTCTGAATTTAACTGCACTAAACACTGCATATTATAAAAAGCATGTGAGAACAGTCTTTGCTTGATTTTCTTTTTCCTAATGGTAATCCCAAAAGTAGCATGTAATCTTTTCCCCCTCTTGATTTCTGCAATACCAACTAGGATCATGGGTGTTAATTTGAGTAATGGATTACAAATAGGCACATTTGGCTCATAATCTGATTTTGGTAATAGCACTCTGTGTAATCTCTTTCCTCCTAATACTGGCACTTATGATGGCTGACAAGAAGAAAAGGTATTTTGATGAAAAAATACCAAAACACAGCTGACCATATCCGTGTGTTAACATGAACTTTCTTGGGTGTTTTTTTTTTTCAGATTTCCATTTTGGATCCCAAGAGGAAACAAAAAAACTTTTCTCTCACACAATAATTAATACTAGCAAACACACCAATGAGATTTTATTTAGTACGGTTTTACATTCCACAGTTGAACATTTTCAGATTTTTTTTACGCAACGGACACATTACTGATTTAAAAGGATGAAAGATCCTTAAATTTTTATCATATTTTTTAAAGGTGAAAGTTGCAGTATTTCTGTTCTCAAGTCCATCCTGTAGCATTGTATGCTCTAAATAGGGTATTTCTGAATGTTATGCAAATATCCAATTGAATGGGTGGATTCCACAAGCTGTCCCTAGAAATAACACTTACTGCAATTTCTTGTATTTGTATGTAAATGCATATTATTATTTATTTCACCACATACAATTTTAATGTACAACCTTGCTTTACACATTCCTTGCTTTTCTACATACCAAAAGAAGAAGATTACAGAGTTATGCTCAAGACCTTATTGGTCAACCTCTCCTTAATTTGTGCAACAAATTAAATCCAGCACTTCCCCTTTAAATAGGACGGTGAAAGATGGAAAAAACACTGAGTCTCTGCGGCTGACATTCTAACTTAGCAGGCAGAAAGGCTCTCTTCTCATGAGGTCTGAAACCAATTTTACATCTGGTAAGGATGTTGTTTCTATGGTCTTATCAGTTTTGTCCTCTGAGATTCCTTAAGCCAATGTTTAGAATTGTTACCATTGGAAGTAATGATTTCAAACTTGTAATCCAATCGTCTTTGTGCTACAAACAATTACAGTGATTTATTAGTTTTGGGATATCTTACATTATACTGTATATCCGTAGCTAAGACAAAACACAGCCAACCAAGTGACCTTTGAGTGTTTTTTGCCTGATTCCTAGTGGCCCATCACTTAATGGATCAATCGAAGGTAAATTTACAGATCTGAGTAAAGGTCCAAGACTTCTCACAAATAAAAATATAACAGCTCTGTCATAAATAGGTACGGAGAAACAGTTTAGAGAGGAGAACTTGAGTGACTTAAACAACAAAAGTACTCTGTTGGTGTAGGTTGAGCCTTATGGGCCAGACTTATTACAGTGACTGTGATTTCATTGCAAAGATGTGCTGCACACTTGCAGATGTGCTACTGGTATAGGGTTGGGATGGGTTTGCAAGGATATTCTGGGAATCGGTGCAACAGTCCCAAGCCTAACAATAACATCAGTGAGAGACCAGGTACAGCTTATTTTGAATGTCAGTGTGTGTGAGACCAAGGTGTCATTTAGTCAAGTGGGAGGGCTTGACCACCCCACGCTTGTAAACAGAGCTATAGGATCACTACTGCTCAAACTCATATTTAAAACCTCATATAGCACAGTGTCTCCAGTCACCAAACTGGAACCTTGGTTTGGAACTTGTCCCATTTGTCCACCAACACCAGCTATAGCAAAACCTGGTTTTCCTTAAAGGTCTCCTGCCTACTGACCACAATTTTGTACTCTCTGTACAATCTTGTAATTTTTGTACTGAGTACAATCTTGTTGAGCTTCTACGATTGGAATATTCCTGAGGTCACTGTACAAATTTCTCCCACGGTCTATGACACACAATTTGTGTTATGACCTATTAATCATGTTTCCATACTACAAACACATACCACATAAGCTTTTTCAACTTTCTCACAAATGTGTTTGCACATATTGACATGATTTCACAGCCAAAGAATCAGACCTTATTCTAGTAATGTTTATCTTGTTACCAGGGTTTCATTTCCAAGTAAAGTTTTTCATGATACATATGCAGTTCAGTTAACCCTCAGGGACTTTAAAACACAGCATTGCATTTGGAGATTACCTCTTGGTTAGGTTTATCAGAGACAATTGATGTTTCTTCTATGTTTCTAATGCTTTCGTCTGTGGCTTAAGTATTATGCCAAAGATATAATCCACTATAATCGCTTTACAAATGTTTGCACTGTGTTATCCAAAAAACATTTATACATAACCCAAAAATTCAAGTTTTAGATGATGGAAAGTTATGTTTTTTGTTAGACAATTGATAAACACAAAATAAATTAACCTAAAACACATTGTATTATAAAGTCCCTTGCAAAAGTATTCATCCCCTTTCAATGATGTTCCATTTTGTTGAATTCCAAATAATGTACTTATTATTTATTTGAATTGATATTTTAAATAAAAACTGCAATCCTCAAGCTGCACACTTTTAAGATTGAAATAAGTTAAATATCAGCAAAAACTGCAAAGAAACACAAAAAATAAAATACGTTGAGTGTTTTTAGATACGTCTCTACCACCTTTACACATCCGATTGACAATTTTCACCCCTTCTGCTTTGAAATCTTGCTCAGGTTCTGACAAGTTGCTTGGGGATCTTTGAAAACAATTTTCAAGTCTGGTCACAATGTTTCTATTAGATTTAAGTCAGTACTTCCTGTCACTCAAGAACACTCACTTTCTTCTTTTTCTGCCACTGTCTTGTACAGTAGCTCTGGCCTTCTGTTTTTGGTCATTGTCCTGCTGAAAAGTGAAGTTTTGTCTTCAAGACTGAAGCAGGCTTTCCCCTAAGATCTGCCTGTACTTTGCTACATTCTTTTTTTCCTCAATCCAGAAGTGGTCCCATAACATAATGCTGTAACCACCGTGTTTAAGAGTAGTTATGGTGTTAACTGGGTGATGCACTGAGTTGAATTAGCACTGAATGTAACTCCTTTGTATTGGCTGCCACAAAAAAAAAAATCCACACGTAAGCAGTATCCCTAAAATACTTTGTTGCTGTTTTTTTTCAGTGACGGCTTCCTTTTGAGAAATCAGTCTAGCTTTGTGAAGTGACTAGGATATTGTCACCTTATAGATATCTTCCCATATCACAGTCATTGAACTCTGCAGCTCTTTTGAATACATCATTGGCCTCGTGGTGGCATCCTTTTCTCCCTGGAAACTTTCTGTTCAGCTGAAGGACAGCCTGATCCAAGTAATGTCGGAGTGATATGATACATCTTCCACTTGACTTGGCTTATGTACTTGATAATGAATATCCAAGCAGTATTCATTGTCTTTAAAAAGTTTTTTAAACCCGTCTCTTGGTCTGTACTTTTCAACAACTTTATCCCGGAGTTGTTTTTGGTCTTCATGGGTGAATCTTTGCTTGAAATTCATCACTTGATTAAGGGACCTTAAAGAGTTAAGTCTATGTATTCTGAATTTATGTGAATCACTTATTTCACACAGACCTTTAAGTTTATGCACCTGAACTTTTTTGGTGCCACAACAAGGGGGGGGGGATGCTTACAAAATCATACATATTTTAGTTTTTGATTTTTCTTTGCAGTTTTTGCTGAATATGTAATAAATAAAGAATATTTAACTATTATTTTAAAATAAGGGTATTCATTCTAAGCATTCAAGTTTATAGTAAACATTTTCACGAAATGTGCACACATTGTAATTCAACCAAATGGCACATCATTGGAAAGGGGGTGCAAAGTACTGTACATGGAGGAATAACAATCCCATTATATTTTATGCTCAGACCTTTAAGAATCTAAAATTTCAATCGAATTTGTTGTTAGTCACTGATCCTGATGATACATGTATTTTCCACTTTCACTGTAACCAGAGCAATTATTAGACAGAAACTGTAATAATTTCTTAAATGTGCTCATAATATAGTCTACCTTTATCTCCTGTCCTAGCTTCAAAAGGGTAAAAAATTGCAAAAGCTATGTGAAGTGTGTCCAGTGAAATTATAGCAATTTCATGCCCAATTGCATTCTCAGTACCCTCCAGCATTCAAGTAAAACCTTTTTATATCCTAGCCATAAGGTACACATTAACAGGAAACAAAGGCTAGAACAATAAGTTTAAATTAGTTAATGGCTCATGAGAGGAGGAACTTTGGAATATATGTTTTTTTTCTTCCATATTATTGTGAGACTTACACAAATGAGCAAATGATCAGACCGTTGCTTTGAAATCAAGGTAAAAGCAAGTGTTACTAGTCCTGGTGAACTAGCTTGGCCTTTTCTGTAAAAAAAAAGAAGAAATGATTTCAGGTGTCAGTTTGTTTTAAAAAAGGAATATAGTCATGAAATAATGTATTTTTCAAAGGCGTGCAATTGGTCATTTTTGTTATTATATTACAATAACTAATATTCAATAATTTGATACAATGATTTAATACATGCTATGTGACCTGTACAAAAAGCATAAATCAAAATGTATAAGCAAGAACTATGAAATGGAAATGAGGTGTTTTCAGTTTTATTACAATGGGCTTCAGCTGGTTGAGGAATATCCTGCCGTCTCCACAGCTCAATCTTATTAAATTACTCTTATAGAATGTGGTCTAGACCAGATGAACCTGTTTCCAGCTCCTAAGGGCACTTACGTACCATTCCAGCAAGTCTTTCAACATTTTACAAAGCATAATAAAACCACTGCTACATTAAGTTTTCATTTATTCAGAATATGGTTTAAATAGAAAACAATTTCCCTGATGCAATTTACCTTTCACAATAGTACTGATGCAGCATCTGTTCTTGTATTTTTTTTTTGGCTTTTACGTGATACCGCATCATCTGGTAATTTGTTGCAACATTCATTCTTTCACTTTTGTAAATATACGGATCATTGCGTGTCAAATCAGCCAAGGCAAATCCATTGTCCCCTTAGAATTAGGAGGAAGAAAAGAGCACTAGCATTTATCAAAAAAAGAAGTTTTACCGACTGAAAATTCAAGCTATGTGGATGCTTTCAGTTCAAGGTTTCATCTGAACTATTGATTTTGATTGATTTACAGGAATTGCCTTCAAAAGCAACAAAACTGTTTATTATTCAAGCAGGACCTTTGGAAGAAGACATCAAAATTGATTTTGGTCAAGGTATTTGTGATTACCTAAAGATTTTTGTTGCACTTATCAGACAGTAGTAACGTTTAAAGGGATTCTACACCTTCAAAAAATATAATTTATTTCATCGCCTTAAAGCCTCAACAACTATGTTAGTTATTTAGCCACATGTGATCAGTGTAAGTCTAAATGGCAAAATCTTCCCATTTTGAGCCTGATATCAGAGCTCTATAACCAATATGTTAGAGCACTTTGCCTGTGTAAGAAAGTCTGCAAAAGTGCTACATGACTAATGGAGTATCATATATAATTATAGATTATTTAGGATATATTTATTTATATTAATAATAGATATGTATAATATTTATTATTAAGATTAATACATGATGTATGACTGCTATAAATCAGTAGATGAGGTGAATCTCAGAAGCTTAGGAATGCTGTGTTTTAAATAATTAATTGCAACTTTTATGACTTTATGTAGCATTCAAGAGGCTATAAAAGACCCTAGCCTAGAAAACTTGCACAGTATATTGATGTTTTCTGTATTCCAGAGCCTGGTTAGATTTGCCAAATTATTCTGAAGAGATCATGTAATCAGTCTTCACAACATTAGTTAATGGATTAATTCATATAATGAACTGAGAAATAATTTAAACATTAGAGATCCAAATGACATTATTGTGAGTGTGCTGTATATGAACAAGAGATTCAGCACAGGGAAAATAAATGACACAGAGTTGGGATTGTTAGAACTCTCTTAAGGAGTTCTTCCCTTCCAGTGGGTCTGCCCACAACATGTTTAATTTATTGCATGTCACACAGAACTGCATCTGTATTCAAATGGATGAAGAGGTAAGTTAATGGCACCTTGGCAATTGATTAGCACAATGAGCCGTTACTGTCACAGGCAGCACTAATTGACAAACAAAAGCAGGGAGTGAAACACGTGACATTTTCCTAATAGGATACCCAATGATCTTGGCCAATTAGCTACACACCGGAGAGAGACTCCAATTCCTCGGAAGTAAAACTCACCCACCAAGACCTCCTAAATTGGTTTTTAGAAATCAAGTGAAGGGGGTTAGAACTGGTTGTGGAAACGGATGCATATACTGAAATGGGTGCAAATAACAAATGATTTCATGCCCTAACGATTAAACTGAAGTATAATACTGTTTAAGATAAATGGAAACGCAACAACTAAGGGCTCACAATAAAACAATGAAGAACAACAACAGAAACAATAATTACAATAGCCAAATTTCCATTTCTAGGAAGAAGTGGGAACAACTTGTGTTTTCCCCTCTGGCTACAGACAGTATAAGATGATTCTTGGAACACTTTTTTGGTATTCATATCAGGATTAAAAAGTATTTATTCATCTAAATCTGAAAATCATTTTAAAATGATGTGTATTGCATTAATTCAATAAGCATGTTATTTTAAATAGTAAATAAAAATGATACAGGATATATTTCTTAAGACGCATAAAAATTGTAATCACTTGTAATCACTTTTGGGAATCAACTGTGCTACTGATGAACTGTGTAATTTAAAAAAAAATCTTTAGCAATGCAGAATTGGTTCTGACACATTTGAATCAGAAGGACTAGATGCCTGATAGTGCATTTTATGTTGTTTGAATATGGTTTGTGTTGCATGATGCTGTGCTTGAGGGCATTCAATTACAGCAGTCCTCTTCAGTGGGTATTTAGATTCTGTCCACATCTGAGTCTTGACAAGTAGTCACAGATAGGAAGCATCATTGTTAGGGATTCTGCATATGCTTTTAGTTTTGTCAGCTGCTCAGTTTAGTGAAAAGTAGCATCAGCTGCAAAATTATAAGACCTTTGACATGTTAATTGTATGTAATTATATAAAGTGAATATCTGAATACAATGAGAACAGTAACCCTTTGGTATCAAAATAATTTTAAATTCTCATAAAATTCTATGAGAATGTAAAAATACAAATAGGTGATTGGCATTTGTACCTACAACAGTTACGTGTAGTTGGGTTGTATTTGATTATATTTTCTCTTAAACTTAATTATTTCTTACCATTTATCATATAATCTTCTTGTAACCTTGTTCTATTGCAATTAAAGTGCTCTGAGATTGTACTCACAACAAAAAAGGCACAATACTACAGAAACAATAAAGTAAATACTTGCCAAAAATATGAACATTCAGAAAACTAAAAATTAAACATTGTTAATTTAGCCAACAAGGGTTTATAGAGCAATTATTTAATACATTTGCTAGGATTATTTGTACAAGCATTTTTGTACCCTACTCACTTTGTACTGGCAAAGTCCCTGCTGATTGTTTATCAAATTAAAGTTAATGTACATGCATGGATTGAGACCTGGTTATCAAATAGGGAAACAGTGCATTTTCTTTAGGATCAGGACTTCTAACTGAGCGGTGGTGTGCTGCAAGGATCCATTTTAGGTCCATTGCTCGTTCAGATCTATATCAATAAGCTAGATTCTGACATAATTTGTAAACTTGTTAGATTTGCAGATGATGCCAATTTAGGGGGAGTGGCAAACACAATAGCAGTGGCATGACACTTATAAAAAGTCTTAGAAAATACATTTGGCAAAGGAAAATAAACAGTGATAAATGTGAAGGTACAAAGGTGCAAAAAGAAATCTGGGTATTTATGTGAATATCAATTCTGGGAAATTCTGTCAAATTCTGTTTTACAAGTGCAGCTCTCCTCTGGCTCTGTCAGGATCCAGTAACATTTCTCCACTGGCTTTAAGAACACACAAAACCAACACCTAAACAGAGGATAACTGCCACACAGAAAGACCAGGTCTTCACCTCTATAACATGCTCATTGCAGTGAGCCTTGTTTCACTTACTGTACAATATTGTGTTCAGTTTCAGTCACTGTACCAAAAAAAGATATTATAGCCTTATAAATAGTTCCATGAAGATGAGCACGAATGATACTTATTCTCATAGGATTGTCATATACTGTACATGTATGTCCAAATTAAGCGGACTAAGTTACTTCAGTTTAGAACAAAGGAGTTCAAGATGCAATTTGATCCAGGTATATAAATTCCTAAGGAATATGGAGAGTGTCAAAACAGGAAACCCTATCATACTTGGTAGCAAAACAAGGACATAGAAACTAAAAAGAAATTCCTTATGGACAGAAAATATGAATTATTGTTTTGCACAAAGAATATCTGAAACAGGATTCCCAGCTAAGTGGTTAAGGTCCATACTAAAAAAATGGCTTTATTCTTCTAAACCACCAAACAAGCAAGATGGGATGAAAGGCTTCCTCTCCTTTGCATCAATTCTTACATTCTTACATTATATTTTTCAGTAGTTTTGTCAAATCCTAATCAATGCGACAAGATGACCTCTTTTATAGGCATAATGTATTTAATATTTTAATGTTTGGTGTTAGCTCTCCTGGTTCAGGATATGGCAGCCTGACAAGTCAAAGCTTGACAAAAGGCTCCCCCCCTCCCCCCGTCAACCCCACTCAGTTGCAAGGAATAAACCAAGGAGGCTGCTTCAAGGGTGAAGATGGGGTGGAGGGAGGAGTGTAAGAAAATGTGTGAAGTGCCTACAAGGCAAGATATTTATAAGTAAATGAATGGAAGTTTCATCCTCTTCCCCAACTTCTGTTTAAAGACTCTACTTCAGTAGTTTGGTCAACTTTACATTATTGCAACTAGAAGGTGAAATTTATAGGAATAGTGTATTTAATATTTTAAGACTTTGTGTTAATTTGTTTGCCATTACAATATTCACAGCAAAAGGCAAACAAAATCTAAAAAGGGGATCTTTATGGGGCTGTTTTTCCACCCAAGTGAGATAACACCAAAGTATAATCAAAAGACTATTCATTTCTATTAGTCAGCTCATTTGGTTATGAGAATTCAACCAAATTTAAGAAAATTATTACTGAACAATTTCGGCCATAAGTTAAAAATAAAATGCCTGCTTGTGGTCACAATACTAGAATCTGTGGTTAGAGTCTGTAGTTTACAGTACATAAATTTGGAATTCAAAGAAGCAATACACATTCATTTTAATGGTTATATCATAATTGCTTTTGGTAGCCAGGGTTATGAATGAATAGGAAAGCAATAGAGAGGTGAATGGAGATATAAATCAAGAACAATCCTTTTTCCTCTCTTATGTTGGGGATTATACTGTACATATTTCAATTTATAGTTATTTTAAACATTGAAATGTCTCTCCAACAATGCTACAGGAAGCATGAAGTATACACATGCAATTTGTTTGAGGAAACGAAAAGCAGAATGCAAAACATCTAAAAGAAAAACAACAAAAAAGTTTTGTATTATATTTAAGAACACTCTTCTGTCTTTATTGTGTTCATAAGATCAATGACTGTTATTACTAATGATATTAGTTTGGAGCTAATTAATTATAATATCAGTTTTTATAGTTGGGATCATTTTTATTCATTAACATTTTTTTTTTATTTGCTGACAGACATGAGTTAGCCAGAGTACTAAAATGCAAACAGAACACTGATGCTAGACACCACTGCACAAACAACTATAACTAAACATAAAATTGCATCTATAGAAGTCTGCTGGTGAAAAGATATCCTGGAAAACCCACAATTTTAGATGTTCTTTAAGAAGAGGCTAATTAATATTGGCGAATCCCCGTAAAACTGCATGGTGGCAAAAAATAATAATTTTGGATTTTCTTGAAAAATGTCAATCTACAGTGTAGCTGAAATTGTATTTCCAAATTCTTTAATGGTCTGGTTTCCTACTGGCACCCAGATCATACATTGTTTTTAGAAACAACACTTGTATTTATTAATCCAGCTTCCCAGAGAGGCTTTAAACTCATGTTCTCATTAGACATAATATTTGTTACCCCATAGGTTCTGTAATGGCAGCTGTACTGTTCAAACATGTTCACAAGGTGGTAACTTCTTTCAGGAGTCTGGGAATACAGTGAATTGTTTTAACTGTGAACAGGATACTGCATCTTTCCCATGTATTAAATTTTCTCACCATTTTCTGAGATAGGTCTTTAGTTTTTTTTTTACAACTGATTCTTTTTTTGTACAGAGATTGTAAAACAGACACACCCAGTTACTTCTTGGAACATGAAGATCATGAAAAATGTCGCACAGCCAGGCACTAGTGCTCACACACACGCACACACACACACGGGACTAATTAAAAAAGTGAACAAAAATAAATACAAAATGAAAAAGGAGCACAAAAATGTTCTTTGCAAACAGGAACTGGAAGAATGGGACTGAAGTGGAAAATGAATATCTTTGTACATGGAATTTTGATTTAGATTTTCGTATTTCGGTAATATTTCTTTACAATATTATACAAGCCCAGAGGTACATTATCAGGCTGTTCAGCTCCAAACCCTCACAGTGTAGGAGAGTACTCAGCAAAAACATTGATGATTCATCCACTGAGAGGAGGCCTAAGGCAGTTTGAAAATCACCCAGGTATTTTTCAGTAACGTTTCATGTTGTTCTGTGTTACACAACTAATGAAGGAGAATCCCCCCCAAAACCCTGAACCTTGCAGGACTGCGAGCGAAGGGGTGTTCAGTGCTGCGGGTCAGCAGCAGACGTTCAAATTTTCAGAACCTCCTTTTAATGCTGGAGCTAATTTAAAGTATCCGTCTTCTCTTGAATTGATGTCTGCTCCCATGAGCCAAAATCACACGAGGAAATAAACACTTCTTTGAAACTGTTTGAGCAAATATGTTTCTTGCACGATTTTGTTTTCTCACCCCGTCAAGAGTTAGGCAACAGGAAGACCGTAACAGGATCCATTGATAGACTGGGAGGTATGTTATAGCAGACAGTGCCAATACAGTATGTCTTAAATTTACTTTGTCCTGCACCATTATTCCTCTTTCATCTTCATAGAATCCCATTGGACGGCCAATGCATTCTTTGGAAGAGCAAAGGAGCGCTCTGCTTAAGAAAGAAAAAAGGTGCATATATATTAATTCATTTACCTATACAGTTTTAATTACATACATACTGTTAAATCTGTCTCTTCAAACACGTTTTTCATCGTATTTCCTTCTCATTCCAGAGTAATTTTCAAGGCTGAGTATAGGACAGAGTTGTTTCCACCTACTGTATTTATTAAAAAAATATTACATTTGTCTGTGGCCAGAAAGGACCAGAAATAATTTTCCCTCACTGTACTGTGTGAGGCCCTCAAAAAAGGAAGTATGTGGGTCTCTTGAAGCAATCGGATGCAGATGGCCTCCTTGCTGGAGATGTGTGGTCCGTCGTGAAACTTTAGCAGACAGTTCCATTCTCTGGCCTGGATTTGGGGCAGGTAGAACGAGGGAGAGGCTGGACAGAGGGGGCCAGAGTGCAAAAGAAGCCAGCAATAAGGGTGAGGCCCAGGCCTCCCCAGGCACAGAACATGGACCAGCCATATCCATGGCTGATGTCATCTGGCAGCCCATAGAGATAGCGCGGATACCGGGAGAGCTCAAAGTTGATGCCAGCTACACAAGTGCACAGAGAGATGATACAAAAGGTGCCTGCAAAAGAGCACAGAAACAGGAAATCAATGTTGGACAAAGAGGGTATATAGGGCAAATTATATTAAGCAAATATGCACAGACATAAACACATTTCATTATTTCAGAAAATATGCAAGGACAGATGTTTACACTGCAGGACATTAATTTTGCTATGCGAGTCCTGTGTTTTAAACAGAGCACAGCATCTTAATTTTCTGATTTCACAGAGTTTATTGTTGAGGGCCAGTGGGATGTTTTTCCAAATATCCTGTAACTTTGTCCACAATGCACCCAAATTGTTTGAGTTTAACTTTCATCCTTTTAACACCATATAACCTTGGTGAATCTTGGTGCATATTTGTGAGTCACCATTTTCTGAGATAGGTCTTTAGTTTTTTGTCTTCAACAGCGTATTTATGGTTCAGATATTCACTATAAAGTAATCTTGTCAGATAATAGCAGTACAGTAATAGTAATACCTTACTATACACTATACACTCTCTATGCAGTTGTTATTTGCTTGATATAATGTGCACTATTGTGTTGAAAGATTAATCTCTCCTCATTTCCTAAGGGAATGGCATCATGGATCACAATCTACTTCTGTCTGCTGGCTTTATGGTTACTTTTGTTGCACTCTTGTATTAATCCAGCTCAATGCCTCATTGTATCTAACTGGTATTGTTTTTATGTTGTTTCCCCTTCTTACCAAAGGTTTCCGTGTGCTGTGAGCCATCGGAACTCAAGCGTTACATGCTCATGCAGGTCAATGCTTGTTATCTGTTACTTGTTTCTGTTTCTGAAGAAAAACTAACACTTGTACATGCAGGTAATTCACATGAACTCTCCAGGATTGCCACCTTAAAAGGAAAATAATTTACTCTTAAGGTACTGTATCTGACATCACCTCTGGACAGCTTGAGTCTTTTTCTTTTTAGAAGCACTATTTATACTGTCAGCCCAATTAATGAATTCAGTACCCATTTCATGACCCCCCTCTGTGGTCTTGCATATGGCACTTGGCGTAATATCGAAGTCAAGATATCTGACCTTTCACCCATCACTATAAGTAAACTTTATTTTATCTAAAAAACGTTGCTTCTATATGCCTTCCTTCCTAGGGGGTACTGTGTTTCCCATAAATTTTACATTCAAAAATTGTAACAGTGCCTTTATTTTATTATGAGCTGGTTTGGCACAATTAGATTAGTTATCATGCAGGCAATCGCATTGTGCCAAATCAATACAACATTTTATTAGATAGTATTTATTCTTTTGCTTTGAATTGCATACCCACTTTTTCTCTGTTTCTGTAATTAATTCCATGACAAGCTACACTGGCCAGTAGCCATATCTCCCTGCAGCTCTCAACTGGCTACCACTGCTGCTGAGCAGGGTTGAGCCTGGTCAGTACCTGGATAGAAAGCTAAGATTGCTGCTGGGAGTGGTGTTAGTGGGACCAGCGGGGGGGCGCCCATCCTGTGGTCTGTGTGGGTCCTAATGGCCCGGTATAGTGACAGGGACACTATACTGTAGTGGGCGATGTCTTTCGGATGAGACATAAAACCGAGTCCTGACTCTCAGTGGTCCCCGGGCATTTCTTGATAAGAGTACCTAACTATACACTACTTACTATACACTATAGCATAGTATTTGGCCAGTGTCCGTGCCAAATTCCTCCCCTTGGCCTGTAATGTGGCCTCCAAATTGTCCTCATGTATGATTGGCTTGCACTTGCCCTGCGATGGACTGGCGCCCCGTCCAGGGAGAACCCTGCCTTGCGCTTGGTGCTTGCCAGGTAGGCTCTGGCTTCTCGCAACAGCATATGGTATAAAGCAGTTTGGCAAAGTACATGACATTATAATCTGTACTGAAGTTAAAGGTATCTTTTTCAAGTTGTGGGTGTAACATGCTTACTTAGAATCATTGAAGTGATATTTTGGTAAAATACTTCAATCAAAATTCGGACTACATGACTCTTTGTTTATGATTCCTAACACCAAGACGTGTAAGATATACACAATCATTTTCAAGAGGAGTTACATGAAACTAAACACACTAACCTAGATATGGTTGAGCTACATGGTTTAACCAGGATACACTTTCTGTTATTTATCCATCCGTTCATTTTCTAACCAGTTCCAATTCAGGGTTATATGGGGAGATGGAGCCTATCATAGAAAGCAACAGGCACAAAGCAATGTCCTGGATGGGACATCGGTTCATCACGGGGCAGAGAGACACAAATTAAGAAATTAAGATATGTAAACGTCCGCCAAGGTCATTTTTCTCAGAAGCCAATTAACCTGCCAGTATGTTTTTGGACTGTGAGATGAAACTGGAGCTCCCAGAGAAAACCACATGAAAACGGGGAGAACATACAAACTCCGACCAGACAGCATTCCAGGCCAGAATTGGACCTAAGCCCCCAGCACTGCGAGGCAACCATGCTAATCACTGCGCCACTGTGCCACCCTCTCTGTTGTCCGATGCTTTTAAAAGCTATGGTGATCCTTTAATCTCTTCTTTACCATGCAGACAATGGTTCAGACAATGATGAATCATCTGTACATTTACATTTTTTCTTCAAAATGAGTCTTTTCATATACTTGTATTGTAATGCTATAACTCCTGTTTTTGGCAGCAGCATGAACATGACAATAATTAGTATTCTATTTATGCAGACTGGCTGTGCTGTTAGTAGCAGTTTGCGAAGTGTAATTTTCTCCCATCTGTCTTCGCACTAGTAGCAGATTCCAATGTATTGTTCATACTTTTATCCTTTTTACAGGTATCAGACAGGGCAAAGGTTAGAGTGTAACTGTTTGTGGAAAAGAAGAGAAAAAAAGTGATTCTCCTCCCACGATTACTGTCACTTTCCCCATCTTCTGCTAGATTCGTATTTATTGTATGAGTAATGGGTTTCATTCATTCACATTGATTTACAGTAAGTCCAATTCTCTGAGACTTTGTAGCTTCCAGCAACTGGATGAATATTTGTCAGATGAATCTCCCAAACAGTTAAACTTTTCCATATAGTTCCTCTAGTATGTTGCAATATATTGGTTTCTTACAACAAGAATTGGTCAATAGCTTTTCTATGTCCATTTTGGTTTCTGGTACAATTAAAAGAGAAACCACAAGATCATAATTGTGTTTTTAACAAATGCATTTCCTATATTACCTTAAAAGTAAGCAGTTTTGTTGCATCTATGCACTGAAAACAATATCTCATGGAATCATTAGAGCCAAAATCCTGAAGCATAGATTCACAATTCCTTATATATAATTTTATTAAATATACTTTTATTCTAAGCATGTATTATGGAAGATATACACTGGTTATACATTAATAAAACAGTGCTGTAAGAACCTAATATAATCTGAGATTTGAACAGCAATAACACCTCAAGACTTTTCACACTCACCAATTTCTTAGAGTAGAAAGAGTTTCAGGTACCACAGCATTTGAAATGAACTTAAGATTGCTTAAAAAAGCATCAGTGTGAAATGAGTTTTCGGCTCATAAGTGAATAGCTCAGCAGAGCTTACTTTGCTTTCAAACAAAATGGGCTTTTTTTGCCATTGTTGTTTTTCTGTTCAGTTTCAGGGTGATAAAAATAACCTCTGTTCCTTTGAATTCCTCCTTCAGCAGAACTTATCTAAAGTGGACCCATGAAACTTTTTCATTTTAATGTATTTCTTTCACTACTGGCAGGAGATACAATTTGTTTTTACGTCTCACCAATTATTATACATAGAACTGTGCCTCAGACAGGGCTCACCTCCCATAAGAAAGAGCAAGCCTGCTACATATTGCATGAGCCCACGATCCCAGCAGCATCCAAGAACCCCAATGATCCAGCCAAACAGGATGATTGCCACAGCCATGCCCATGAAGCCTGCAGTCATTCGTCGCAAGTCTGTGATGAAAGACAGAAGAGTCATGTCGGTTACATTGTAACATCCGGATGGGACACTTTCCAAAACCGCATTTCAAAAAGCAACCCCAAAACCTCTTCTCTTTGTATTCTCGTCGCAGACACTCTATACCGTACTGTATATATTACTAAAGACTGGGGATACATGAGATATAAAGGTAATGTGAGACAATATTGGCAAGCACCAGCTGAAATTGCTCTAGCAGGTTGTCACACATTGCCTCAAGTTCCCCTCAAGGTCTCAAGTCCCTCCTGTTTACAGTAATTCTGATACACATACAATCAAAATCTGAGATGGATAATTGGAAAGCAAGCTTCTGCAATGCATTTATACTGTAGCTGTAGACTTGCTTTGGGCATGCTAATGTACTGTATATGTTAAAATTGCATGCTTTCCAATTAGAATTGTGATTAGAGAGATGCTGCCTTGGTACTGTATTAATATGCATGCTCAAGAAGATAAAAAGCTTAACGGGAACACAGTTTGTGATGAACTTTAGAAAACCTCCAGTTAAAATGGAGATACTACTTTGTTTCTGATGTTCCTACGTGTAGGAATTACCTATAGCCTGAAACATCGAATTACAAATGGAAGTTAGGAGACAGTCAAACATATCACAACAATCAAGATATCTTCACTACCAAAGTAATAGTAATCAGACAGTAACTTGAAGTCTTGTAGTCCTTTACCAGAGATTTTCAAAGGCTTTTTCCCACCCATGTTTTTTTTAACAATAAATTCAATTTACTCAACCAGCCAAAGTAATCTACATTTTTTCCAGTTCGCTGGTGATTTCGAAAATAACTTTAAAAAGCTTTTCTCAAAAATTTCCATAATTGTGGAGACTTTTGGTGTGCTAAGCTACAAATGGGTTAGGATCTGCTGTACCGCAGATGAAATTCCCTGGGCAGGAGAGGAGGATGGTGGCCCTGTCAGATGTGGCTGGAAGACGATGCAGCTGGAGGCATAAGAGTCAACCCATCCAGCTGTCTGATGTGATTCACCAGCCTGTTGTAGATAGCAATAATAAACTGGCACTGAAAATGCTTTATCTTTGGTCAGGTTTTCAGCAAGCTTCTCTGCTCCTCCCCTGCCTCGTGCTTGGGCAACATTATCTGAGATTTCAAGGTGCCACCTGCACAACCCTGCTGCTCCCTGAAACAAACTTGCCCACATGACTTCTTATCTCTCTTTTAAATTTTGATTAATTTTATCCTTTTTTCTCCTCTCTCCGGATTCTCACCTCCAAAAATTGTTCTGCATGAGAACAAATTTAGCCAAACAGAATGAGCACTAAATATTTTCAGCTTCAAGCAATCAATTCACCTTCTAGTGCACAAATTACCTCGGGTAGAAGTGCATGCGATTTACAATAATGCAATACCGCTTTTGGAGATTCTATAATATGCTGTCTAAAGAATGTAATAACTAATGCTTTATATTTAAAAACAAAATTGTACCAAAAATATTTGTTAATTTTATAAAATGATAGCTTTTGCCATTTGCCAGTAAACAAAGTTAAAGCTGTTAAAATGTATGACAGCATTTCAGTTTAAAAATAATCAAGGCTGTGTTCTAAGACCTATTAATAATTTTCAGAGATTTTCATGTGGATCACAGCTCATTTGATTAGTCACTACACATTGCTATTTTCTGCCAATAAAAACGAGACATCTGGCAGGTGGGGTCCCAATTAGGTTTTTGTTTTCATTTCCATTTGCAATGATAAAGTTTTTTTTTAGTTTACATCCCTCCCGTAGTTGAGAAATGCTGTTGTCCATCATTTCGCCTCACTTGTTCCTCTTCCTTGCACAGAAGGGGCTAAGGTAAGAAGAGTACATCCTCAGAAACAGGCGTTGTCAGCTATTCAGCTTTTTCAGACTCTGCAGTGCTGACGGTAGAACTAACATCGACTGGAGGAGTGATGCAGCTCTGACAGCACTGCAAGGTCACAGGCTGCAAGCAAGAGATCCTGGGGCTGAGAGTAAAACAGTCGCCCCTGCTAGCACTTCAGCAATTGTTTGCTGATACCTGAGCAATCCCATCCTGAGGCCACTTAAACCACAGACCATCCTGCAAGTGTTGCCAATGTCTGCATCACAGGGCTCAACTTGTGCTCTGAACAAGCGCCTCTACCAGCTTAGCCATTTAGAAGCCCGCAAAAGCCCTAGTCCATCAATAAAATAAGAACAGTTTTCTTTCTACAGGTTTAAATCTAACATAATTACATAATTACACTTGTAGATTTATCTATTCATGGCTTCAGTGTTGTCTGTTACTTGTCTTTCCATAGTTCTACACAGATTCCAGGGGTTAACCTACCATTTGCATGACTTCCATAGAAATGGTCAAAATCAGTCCCTTTTTCCTCCTTCAGGCTATGCTGTTGTGTCAAATTACACAATGGTGAACAATGGTTGTGACTGGGTGCACATTCTTTCTTTCAAAGTGACATGAATTAATTAGATAGATTATTTTTAAGTAATATAGGCTTAACGATATTTGGTAAAGGAACCATTTGATCTTGAACTTTGATTTTGTACCTTTTTAGCTAAAAAAATACTGTATTGACATCAAATAAAAAGTAACATTTGCAAAGGAAAATTGACTTTCTAAATGTTAGCTTCCTACATATTCAGTCTTCACAGTTCTTATTGGCTCTATATACTGAATCACTTTTTATGTGGCTACACCCTTTTCTCTCATTTCACTGTTTTATGGGCATATAAAATGTTTTGGTGAAGTATAACAAATGCATTTTTTACTGTTTACTTTTTATTCTGGAATTTTCCGTTTCATTTATCTTTACATGTCTCATTACCTCGAAGCAGTTTCTTCAACTCCGTTTCCAAATCCAAGGATCAAAGAATCCTGAAAATAGAAATCTCTACTGTTCTGTTGGTAAATACCCCAGGCTTACTCTGCTACTAGCTGGTAGGCAGGTCACAAAGTCTCACAATCCCCTCACTTCTGTCAACAAAGGCCTCATGGAGGCAGCTCTGCTTTATTAGAAGCTTAGCCAGGTGTAAAGTCATTGACAGTCCCACAAGAAGGGATTTCAGCTTGACAGGCTCAAGGCACAGTTGAGGGCACAGTGTGTTATCTGCGCTCATGGGAGAGAGTATTTCAGAATTTTGCCAGCATGTCCGAAGTGTTATTGTAATATTATTAAGTACAGCTGCTTTTTAAACACACGTAAGCACTTTCAAAAGGCAACATGTATTTCGATTATTTTTTTGTGATCATTTTTGTTTTCCCCAAAACAATACAATAAAAAAAAATAAAAATCACTTCACCTTTGACAAAACCTCCTTCATCTATTTCCCTAATGTATTTTTATCCCTAATGAGTCTTTGTGCAGCACTGGCTGACTAAACAGTTTGAGTGAAATATTCTGTCTTGGTGGCAGAATATATTGGAAGTTATTGTCTCCTTTTTGTCTTCCTCCTTACCTCCTGTGATGATGCAAATAGGGGGCTTGTGTAAAGCCACCAATTGGAGTGCAAATTGGACATACCTTGCTTAACTGATTGATTGGATCAAGTGGGAATTAAATGGCACAGGTGGAAAAGATTGGATTTGCACATTTGATAGGCTTTGTGGGTAATTGGACAAGACCAGGGATCAGAAATCAGGTGAAATGTAGAGAGTCTAGATGGGATGGTTGAAGGGTTGGCTCTTTGTGCTTTTGTATCAGTAGACATGCATGCAGACCTGTCGGAGAAGGTCTCATAGGAGAGAGAATGAAAAACCTGCAAGGATTTTGTTTGAAGATTTATGATTATTGATGGAAAAATCCAGAGTGAGTTCTAGTTTATTCACTTGTATAAAATATCCAAGTATTTAGTTTAAAAGACTTCTGTGGCTCATAGGATAGGTGATTAGTGCTGATAAAAGTATTGTTGGAAAACTGGGAGTAACGGGTAAAGCTGATTTAAGCATGCCATGTCTCTGAGCAAAAAAAGGGACAAGTTAGTTTCATGTAACAGAGAGACATGGAGCAGTCCAAAGGAATTTACCCGTTCTGGCCTTCCAGAGACTTCCTGAAGGAGAAAGGTTAATTTGAAGAGTGGAAGTAAAATTACTGACTGCTACTTAAAAGATCTGATGGATGGATGGATGATTGAACAGTTGATTGCACAGATATCTTTGAAAGATTCTGAAAAAAACAGTACATCTAAGACTCTGGAGGGGTTCCGTCCACAAGATGCAGTGATGAACCACACTTAAATGTGCAACACTGTGGAGCATGGGTTCTCCATCACCCCCTGATTGCAAAAGGTATGTATAGTATATGAAGGTATGTTCTTCTGAGTTTAAATGTGCAATACAACTGTGATGCTTGCACACAAAAGGATCACTACTCCACATTGGGAAAATTGCTGGTACGGAATGTGTGTATTTACGATTCCCCCCCCACCCCCACCCCCCATCATCTTGCTCCGATATTGCTAGTGACAGGAAGCACCCGCTGGGAACTAAAATATGGTCAGTCATGAGTCACAACATATGAGATTGTCTAAGAAACTCTGCAATAATTGCAGCTGCTAAAACCCAGTTTTAAGCAATATCTAGCCTTGAGAGATATACAAGAATGAGCTTCTGTATGAGGTACTGTTCTGTTGTTGGCTCCACCCCATGCTTGGTGTTTTACATATGTTCAGTATTGCCACTTTCAAGGCTTTATCATGTAATATGAAATTCTTCTGAACTAATTTATCTACACAGTATGCTGCAACCTCAAAGTGGGAATCTGGTAATTCAGCAAAAAAAAATCAAATCGTGTTTCAGTTAATGGAAATCTGCAGAACAAAGCAATCCAAACTAGCAGTTTTTCAAACCAGACATTTTAAGAATTACTGCAAAGCCAAAAAGGAGGTTGAAGGGGTGCAATTTCCTTTCTTCTAATAAGCACAACCCTGATAGAGAACATTTTTTTTAGTGTTGTACCTCCTCTGCTTCTCCAACTACACTCTCACCG